ACCCCCCCCTCCTCAGCCCTTGGGGTCCAGCTCCATCCTATTCACCTGATCATGGCCTGGGACATCATTTCCAGTGCTGCAGCACCGCTCGTGTCCTTCGGCGCTGGATCCGAGTCAAAGATGACTTGGGCACAGGGATTGATCCACATCTGGGGCAGGGACAAAAGCAGAGGTGTTTGGGGCCACAACAAACCCCCCCCCCAACCCCCCTAAGCACACGCCACGCACCCCACACCCTACCTTGAAGTCAGGGAAGACGGGCATGACTTCGATGGGGGTGACGCGAGGTTTGCTGTAGTGCTGTGTGATCTGAGGGGATTTGGGGGGGGGGGGGGGGGAGAACCACACGGGATGGGGTCAAGACTCCCAAAAGCAGGGTGGGAGACCCCAACCCGCCCCCATCCCCCCCCTCAAATCCCTTCTCACCGCTTTCTGAGCGTCTTCAAAAGTCTTCTCGATGGCGGCAATTTGGCTGTCGCGGTCTTTGTAAATCTCTTCTTCTGTGAACTGTTGTTTCACCGAGACTCCGATCCTGGATAGGGACGGGCACAGAGGCAGCCGGGGAGGTTCGGGGGGCGGGGGGACGAGGAGGTTGTGCCCCTCCTGCACCCTCCTTCAGACTCACTTGACCTCGGGTTTCTCGTTGGACACGCCGTAGCGGTTGAACTCGGTGGAGATGTACTCGGTCTTTCGCATCCATGGCACCACCTTCGCGTGCTGCTGTGACCTGAGCCACAGGTGGGTCACAGGTGTGACAGAGGATGGATTCGGAGGGGAGATCTATTCCCCCCACCCGTTCCAGGGAGGGCCTGAATACGCCGTTACCTCTTGGAGCTGGTGGGTGCCTGGATCTCCTCCTCCAGCAGCTTCTCATCCGCCGGGTCCAGGAGCACTACCAAAGAAATCCTCCAGTATCCCCCCCCCCAGCCTTGGCTCCCCACCGCCTCCCACCGAGGGGCAGGGACACCCCTAAGGGCTGAGCTCACCACCGGGGTCGATGCGGTAGGTGTCGGGGTTGATGAGGTCGATGGTGACACCCAGGTCAGGCTCAGTCAGCAGGTCGTGCTTGTGCTGCTTCTCCAGAGACGTGGCCTTGTACTGCACGAACCTGGAGAGCGTGACGTAGAATCACAGAAACACCAAGGTTGGAGAAGAACTACAAGATCACCCAGTCCAACCGTCCATCCATCACCAGCAGCTCTCACTAAACCACGTCCCTCAACACAAAATCCCTTGAACACCTCCAGGGTCGGTGGCTCCACCACCTCCCTGCGCAGCCCATTCCAGTGCCTGACCGCTCTTTCAGAAAAGCAGTATTTCCTAACCTCCAGCCCAAATCTCCCCTGGCGCAGTTTGAAGCCATTCTCTCCGGTCCTATCACTGTTACAAGAGAGAAGAGGCTGACCTCCAGCTCACTACAACCTCCCTTCAGGTAGTTATAGAGAGCAATAAGGTCTCCCCTGGGCCTCCTCTTCTCCAGACTGAACAATCCCAGCTCCTTCGGCCGCCCATCATAAGGCCCCATTGTGCTCCAGACCCCTCACCAGCTTTGTCGCCCTTCTTTGAACCTGCTCCTGGGCCTCAACGTCTTTCTTGCAGTGAGGGCCCAAAACTGGACACAGCACTCGAGGTGCAGCTTCACCAGAGCTGAGTACAGGGCGACAGCTAATTCCCTGTTCCTGCTGGCAGCCCTGTTTCTGATGACGACGGGTCCCAGGACCACCCCAAGAACCCAAAATTCGCTTCTAAACAACCCGGGACCCCACTGCCTCCATTGCCCCCAGCATACCGGTTCTGGTCGAAGGGGTAGGTGATGAACTTGGGGTCGAAGGGGATGTCGGGGAGGCTGTTGCAGTATTTCACCCGGCACACCACGCCCGACCTGCAGGCAGCGCTGTCAGCGGGGGGGGGGGGGGAAACAGGGACCCCCCTGGACTCCCCTTTAGAGACCGAGTCCCCCCTCACCTCTCGGGCAGCGTTCGGTGGGAGCTGGGCCTGTGGGGAGACAGAGAAGGGAGGGGGCGTGAAGGGAGAGCTCCGCAGCCCCCTGACGTCACGCCCCTCGCTCGTGACGTCACGGCCGTGACGTACCGGTGACCCGGCTCCTCCCGCTGCGCCTGCGTCTGGATGGTGGGCGCCATGGCGGGGCCTGGAGGCGGCGGCGGCCCTGTGCAGGCACCGAGCCGGACAGCCGCGGCCGGAAGCGAGAGAAGGACTTCCGGTCGGTGAGAGGGCCCTCGGGTGTGACGTCACTTCCGGACGCGGGCGCGCGCAAGGCCGACTGGGAGCGGAAGTGAAGGGAGCAGCGGGAAAATGGCGGCGCCCTCACAGCCACCGCCGGGACCGCCAGCCGCGCCTGCGCCGCCGCCGCTGTCCGCCGCTCCCGGACCTGGACAAGGAGCGGGACCGGGACCGCCGCTTCCGGCGCAGGTGGCGGCCGCGCAGGCGCAGGACTTCGACCCGGTGCAGCGATTCCGGCTGCTCATCCCGCAACTGAAGGAAAGCCTGCAGGTGGGCGGGGCCTGCCGATGCGGGGCGGGGCCTTCAGCTATCGGGGCGGGCGAGCCGTTCCCGGGGTTGGGGGACGAAGCCGGGGCCGGCGGTGTGGGATCCCGCCGTATGTGATCCGCTGTGCTCGCCTCGCAGACGCTGATGAAGGTGGCGGCGCAGAACCTGGTGCAGAACTCCAACATCGACAACGGGCAGTGAGTGAGCCCGGCAGGGTGCTCACCTACGGACCCCAGTCCCATCCCCGCCTCCCCCCCCCCCCCCCCCAAGACCCCCACCGGTTTCTCTGGGTCCTACCCAAAGTCCCCAGGCTTCTCTCCCTGCCTCCAGCAGCCTCTTCAAGCTCCCTCTCCCCCCCCCCCCCCCCCCCCCAGTCATTCTCTAGGCCCCCTTCCTTGGCCCCCCAGTGTCACCCTGGCCATGTGGTGACAGTGGGGGTGATGGTGGCCGTGTCCCATGGGCAGAAAGAGCGCCGACGGAGCCTTGCAACGCTTTGACAAGAGCCTGGAGGAGTTCTACGCACTGTGCGATCAGCTTGAGCTCTGCCTTGTGAGTGGCTCTCCAAGCGCTGTTTTTTGCGCCCCCCTCCCTCCCATTTTCACTTCCCATTTTCCTTTGGCAACGTCCTTTGCACACTCCTTGTCCTTCCCCCTCCCCCCCGGCACACGCAGCCCCATGTCCCCTCTGGTGACACCCCCTCTCCAGCGCCTGGCGCACGAGTGCCTCTCACAGAGCTTCGACAGTGCAAAGCATGCACCTGCGTTGGTGCCAGCGGCTCCCAAAGGCGAGGGGGCTGCCGGCGAGAGCCTGCCCTACAACCAGTACCTGCCCCTCATCAAGGCACAGATTGCAGGTGCCAAGGACATCCACAACGCCCTGCTGGAGGGTGCCAACAAGATCACCGGCAAGCTGCCCCCCACGGGGGGACCCTGATGAGGTCGTGGGGGTGGGAAGCGGGCAGCTTCCTATAATAATAACAATAAAGGCACCCACGTGCATGGCAGCGTCCCTGAGGATTCCTGGGGGGGGTGTTTCTAAGCGGTGTGAAGGTCAGATATATGTAGAGGGTGTCACCCTACGTGTGGGGGGATTGCCTGTGCGTTGAGGTGGATGATGGGGGAGGGATCATCCATATAGAGGCAACGTGATGACACCAAGCTGAGCGGTGCAGTCGATGCATTGGCAGGAAGGGAAGCCATCCAGATGCACCTGGACAGGCTGGAAAAGTGGGCCCATGAAAACCTCATGAGGTTCAATAAGGAGGCTGTGGATGCCCCATCCCTGCAGGCATTGAAGGCCAGGCTGGATGTGGCTCTGGGCAGCCTGGGCTGCTGACTGGTGACCTGCACACAGCAGGGGGTTGGAACTGGATGAGCATCGTGGTCCTTTTCAACCCAGGCCATTCTGTGAGTCTGTGGGTCCCTATGAGGGATCTACAGGTCTATAGGTCCCTATGAGGATCTATGGGTCTCTGGGAATCTATGTGTCCTTCTGTGTCTCCTGGCAGCCCTGCACATAGCAGGGGGTTGGAACTGGATGAACATTGTGGGTCTTTGCAACCCAGGCCATACTATGAGTCTATGAGTCCCTAAAGGTCCCTATGGGAATCTATGGGTCTCTATGGGTCCCTGTAGCCAGGGCTGGAAGGGACCTCAAGGATCACGAATCTCCAACCCCCTGCCACACGCAGGGCCATCAACCTCCACATTTCACAGCAGCCCAGGCTGCCCAGGGCCCCATCCAACCCGGCCTTGAACACCTCCAGGGATGGACGGGGCATCACAGCCTCTCTGGGCAGCTGTTCAGCCCCTCACCGCTCTCACAGCACAGACATCCAACCTCCATCTGCCCTGCCTCAACTTCCAACCATTTCCCCTCGTCCTGCTGTTACCAACCCTTTCCAAGAGCTGACTCCCCTCCTGTCTGCAGGCTCCCTTTAGGCACTGCAGGCTGCAATGCGGTCACCCTGCAGCCTTCCTTTCTCCATGCTGAACGAGCCCAGCTTGTCTTCACAGTGGAGGTGCTGCAGCCCCCTGATCATCTTCGTGGCTCCAAGCTCTCTCTGTCTTTCTTGCACTGGGGGCTCCGGCCCTGGACGCAGAGCTGCAGACGGGGCCTCACGAGAGCAGAGCAGAGGGGGATGATCACCTCCCCGTCCCTCTGCTGATGGAGCCCAGGACCCCACTGATCCATCCAGCGCCGCACCCATCGCATCCACATCCCTTCCATTTGGAGAGAAAGACGCGGTGGAAGGGGGGGGCAGCGTCAAAAGTTCTTGCTCAAGTCCAGGTGAATGACATCGCTCACCCACGCGCCGATCCTCGGTTCCCGGCACGATGACTCAGCCCAGCCCTCCCCGAGCCGCCCCTCCTCGCCTCTTCGCTGACGTCGTCCCCCGTCCCCCCCATCTCCCCCCAACGCGCTGAGCTCATGGCCGCGCCTCGCTCCAACTTCCGGCCACGCCCACCCGCCTTCGTGACGTCACGGGAGCGCCCCACTAGAAAAGCACCGCGGTTCAACGCTGCCCGGCAGTTCCGCTCTTCCTCTTCTATCGCCATGGCTGCCGCTACAGCTGGCCCAGCTCCGGAGCCGCTGCGTCAGGTACGGATCGTCGTCCTGTTCTTCACCCTCCCTCCCCTCGCTTCCCTCGGATCCCGCTGCCGTCTGACACCGACCGTTTCTCCGTTATAGGGCCCGTTTTGCGGTCAGCCTCCCTCCGAGCCGTCCCCGGAGCCCCCGCTGCCTCCTCGCTCCCCGTGGTGCCCGCCGTCCCCGGAGCTGGGCCGCCTCCTGCGCTCCCTCAGCGCTCCGAGCGGCCGCTCCGTGCCCCCCCCTCCCGGTTTCTCTCCTCGGCTCCGCGGGGCTCCTCCCGGCCTGACCCGCCCGCAGCCCTCCGACACCGCATTGTTGGCTTTGGCGGCGCTGACTTTGGGCACGGATCCGCCCGGGACCGTCCCGGTGCCGTTCCCGTCTCGCAGATCGGCTCAGCTCTCCTCTCTCGGCCTGGCGCTTCTGTCTCCGACGTCGAACGAATCGTCCCAGCTGTCACCGTCGCTTTCCCCTCCTCAATCTCCGTTCGGCTTCTCCTTGTCACCGCCCTCCTCGCCGCCGTCCCCGCTCTACAAGACCGAACTGTGCCGCCCTTTTACCGCTACCGGCCGTTGCCGCTATGGTGCCCGCTGTCAGTTTGCCCACGGCCCCGAGGAGCTGCGGGGGCTCCGCCGCCACCCCAAGTACCGCACGCAGCCGTGCAGCACCTTCCAGCGCTGCGGGACGTGCCCGTATGGCTCCCGCTGCCACTTCCTGCATGGCCCCGCACCGGCGGAGGGTAACACGGGCAGCCCGGGCAGCCCCCACCGCCTCCCAGTGTTTGACCGTATCTCAGTGTCGGAATGAGGGGTGTGGTGATGGTCCCTCCCCAGAGAAAGGGAACCCTCCTTCCTTCCTCCCCCCTCCGCCAGGAACTTTGGGCTGAAGGAGGCGGAGTTGTCAGATGTAGCATCCCTGGGGCGGGGGGGGGGGGGGGGGGGGGGGGCCACGCTGTGCTCGGGCCCAGTGGTAATAAGTGGGAAGTGGGGGGAGGAGGAGGAGGAGAGGGAGACGAGGCTGGCAGGTCCTGTCGTCTCCCTCCCTGCCCTGATTTTTGCCTTTATTTATTACTCACTCAGTGCCTTAGGGGCGTTCCTGTCCCTGTGTATGACTTTTTTCTTTTTTTTTTCTTTTTTCGGTGGCCAGAGGTTTTATATTGTATTTATGTGTTTTATAATTGGGGGGGGGGAGAGGGGTGAAGGGAAAATGCTGATTTTTTTTTTCTTTTTTTTTTTTTTTTTTTCCTTTTTGTTTTAAATAAATCAACAAACTCTTTCTTTGGTGTTGGTTGCTCTGTTGTCCGGGGGAGGGAGAGGGGGGAAGGAGGAAAGGAGCGGAGCGGAGCTGTGACGTCAAACCCCGCCCCGTGACAGCTCCCTGCAGCGCCAGTGCCTCTGCCGCGCCCTTTTTGGCCCTTCCAGGCCACCACCGCCTCCGTCTAATCACGTGACCAAGAGCCCTCCGCTCTGCACACCGCCTATGAACACGTAACGGAGGCTAAGCTCGCGAGAAGTGCTGGGTGACCGAAATCGGAAGTGCTCACCCCTTGACATCTTCTCGCAGTGCGATTTCCTCCTCTAGGACTATTTTTGGCCCTTCCAGGCCACCACCGCCTCTGTCTAATCATGTGACCAAGCGTGTTCCGCTCTACCTAACGCCTACGAACACGTGACGGAGACTAAGCTCGCGAGAAGTGCTGGCTGACCGGAACCGGATGGAGGGAGGCGGAAGTGCTGTCCTCCTGGCGGCGGGGCCTGCTGGGGGCGGGCCGGTGCTGCTCTCCGTTCCCCCTTTTGCCACCGGGCCCCCTTTTAAGCCCTGGGATCTCCCCTCCGTGCCCTCAACGTCTTCTCGTGTCTGCTTCCCGCTCCCTTAGCGCATCTCTGAGCTCCTCCCCTCCCCCCTCACCATCATGTCGGACAGCGACGACAGCAACTTCTCAGAGGAGGAGAGCGAACGCAGCAGCGAGGCGGAGGAGGCTGAAGAAGCTGAGGTGAGGCTGAACGTGTGGGGCGTGCGCCGTGCCCCGCCTTCCCCGGCCCTCAGCATCCCCCCCCCTTCACCGCTGTGCAGGCCGAGGAGGAGCGCGCCAGTGCAGCGGGCAGCGAGAAGGAAGAGGTGGAGGAGGAGGAGGAGGAGGAATACGATGAAGAGGAGGAGGAGGAAGATGACGACCGGCCTGCTAAGAAGCCACGGCATGGCGGCTTTATCTTAGATGAAGCCGGTGAGCTGGGGGGTGGAGCAGGGATGGTGGGGGGGCCTCGGCTGCCTCCGGATTTTGCTCTCACTGCTGTGATCCCCCCCCAGATGTGGATGATGAATACGAGGATGAAGATCAGTGGGAAGATGGAGCTGAGGACATCCTGGAGAAAGGTGAGGAGGTTGCTTTGGGGGCTCCCCAGCTTTGAGGATGCTCCCTGGGGCTTCGAGATCCGCCTCGGGCTTTGGTCCCTGCTCTCTGGCCTTAAGGCCAGAAGAGGATGGAAGCAGAGCTCTGTGGTGGTACGGCTCCTCTGGGAGAGGTGCGCCATTCTGGGTTGCAGTGCTGTGCTGCTGGATTGGTTTTGGTGCAGCTCTTCTGGGTTAAAACACTGGGTTGGCTGCTGTTGCTCTTTCCCCACCTCTGAGCGTGTTTTTCTCCCCAAGCCCCACACTCAGGGGTGGGAATGGGACTGTGTGGCCCCTGACCCCTCACCTCCCTCATCCCAACTGTCTGTCTTTCTGTCCACCCTTTGTCTGTCTGCTTAGCGCATTTCATTCACACCTGCCTGGTTTTATTTTTTACCCCTTTTTTTTTTCATTATTATTTTTTAATTTTATTTAAACGTTTCTTGTGTTTTCCTTTCCCCTCCTGTGCTGCCGTCTTAATTTTGTTCCTTCCCCTTTGTTCCCCCTCACCCATGGGTGGTTTTGCCGCTATTATTTGCTCCATACTGTCTGCCCTCCACCGCCACCTCCTTGTTCCCGAGCAGAAGAGATTGAAGGTAAGCTTGAGTCAGTCTGAGCCCCCCTGGGGGGGCCAACCGCTGCCACCCCCTGGGGCCAGCTAAGCCCAGCCACGTCCCTGTGCTGCTGTGAGCCGCATTCGACCCTCCTCTTCCTTGCAGCTTCCAACATTGACAATGTGGTGTTGGATGAGGACCGCTCTGGTGCTCGGCGGCTGCAGAATCTCTGGAGGTGATGCCAGCTCTGTCTGTGCGCCGCCCCTTTGCCCCCTGAGAGGCTGTGGGAGTTGTGCTGATGCCCGGTTCCACCTTCTCCACCTACAGGGACCAACGTGAAGAAGAGCTGGGCGAGTACTATATGAAGAAATACGCCAAGTCCTCAGTGGGAGAGACGTGAGTTGGGAGACGTGGCTTTGCCACCCTGCCTTAGTGCCTGTCAAGGATTGTACTGTTTCATTTTATTGTCCAATTTTATTTTACCAGTGTTTATGGTGGCTCTGATGAGCTCTCAGATGACATCACACAGCAGCAGCTGCTGCCCGGAGTCAAGTGAGTGTCTTGGGGTAGAAAACACATGGATTTTTTGGGGAAAAAAAATGAGATATTCAGGTCTGTGTTACGCTGAGCTGCCCAGCCAGGTCTCTGGCAGGTTTAGCCAGCTCAGGCCACCCTGTAAATGCCTTTCTCTGGTCCTGTGCAGGGATCCCAATCTCTGGACAGTGAAATGCAAGGTAAGCACTAGGGATCTTTGGAGTCAAAATCGGCGTTTGGGAGGCATCTTCTCAACCCTAAAGCAACCTGTTTCCACCACAGATCGGAGAGGAGCGTGCTACAGCCATTGCTCTGATGAGGAAGTTCATTGCATACCAGTTCACTGACACGGTGAGGCCGCAGGGAGCCACGTGGCAGCTGGGGGGGCTGCACCACCTGCTGCTGTACCACCTGCACCCCTCCGGCCCTCATGCGCCCCCTGGTTCCTCCAGCCCTTGCAGATCAAGTCGGTGGTGGCCCCCGAGCACGTCAAAGGATACATCTACGTGGAGGCCTACAAGCAGACGCACGTGAAGCAGGCGATTGAGGGGGTAGGGAATCTGCGGATGGGTTACTGGAACCAGCAGATGGTGCCCATCAAGGAGATGACGGACGTGCTGAAAGTGGTGAAGGAGGTAACCAACCTGAAGCCAAAGTCCTGGGTGCGTCTGAAGAGGGGAATCTACAAGGATGACATCGCCCAGGTGAGGCAGGAAGGCACAGGAGCCCCGCGGTGGGGAGCTGAGGACAACCGGCTCACTGCCACCCTGTCCCTGTGGGCAGGTGGATTACGTGGAGCCCAGCCAGAACCAGATTTCCTTAAAGATGATCCCCCGAATTGACTTTGACCGTATCAAAGCCCGAATGAGTCTGGTAAGTGGGGCGCTCTTGCATGGTGCTGCTGTGCTGGGGCTCGTTTGCTTATCGTGTTGCCTCCCAATCTGCAGAAGGACTGGTTTGCCAAGAGGAAAAAGTTCAAGCGACCCCCTCAGAGGCTTTTTGATGCCGAGAAGATCAGGTAGGTGGTGGCATCAGAGAACATCAGACTGAAAGAAAACCAACACGACAACCATGCTTGGAAAAAAAATGCCCTCTGGTGGGCTGTCCTCCACGAGGGGGTGATTTGGTTTTGCCTCTGTCTTGGTTCAGGTCTCTGGGAGGTGACGTGGCTTCTGACGGAGACTTTCTCATCTTTGAAGGCAACCGTTACAGCCGCAAGGGCTTTCTCTTCAAGAGCTTCGCCATGTCAGCAGTGGTGAGCGTGGGACTCTGTTCAGATCCAACCTAAGCCCGTCTCCTTTCCCCCCAAAACTGCTTTCCTTCTCGTGTCAAGACCCGAACGCTGAGTTACTGGGGGGAAAGAGGGTGGTGGGAGGCCAGAAACTCCCTGTTCTCTGGTAGCGATGGCCGCAGTCGTGGTGCACGGCCTGTTTGGCATTGGCACGGCTTAGGGAAGTAGGTGAGTTCTGGAGAGGAGTGGGATGTCGTGGCCACCACCAGCTCTGTTCCTGACAGATAACAGAGGGTGTGAAGCCCACCTTGTCAGAGCTGGAGAAGTTTGAAGACCAGCCTGAAGGCATTGACCTGGAGGTGGTGACAGAGAGCACGGGTATGCGGGTGCCTCTTCACGCACGCTGCTGTTTCCCGTGCGTTGTTGTCCCCTGACTCTCTCTGTTGTCACCCCTAGGGAAGGAGCGTGAGCATAATTTCCAGCCTGGTGACAACGTGGAGGTGTGTGAGGGTGAACTGATCAACCTGCAGGGCAAGATCCTCAGCGTCGATGGCAACAAGATCACTATCATGCCCAAACACGAGGACTTGAAGGTAGCACAGCACCCAGGGAGCAGCTTCGTGTGGCTGCTGCAGCCTCACCAGGACGCTGCGTGCCTCTTCCCCAGCGCCTGCAGAGTTCTGCTTTTCTTTTAGGACATGCTGGAATTCCCAGCTCAGGAGCTGCGGAAATATTTCAAGATGGGTGACCACGTGAAGGTGATCGCAGGGCGCTTTGAGGGTGACACGGGCCTCATTGTTAGGGTGGAGGAGAACTTCGTCATCCTCTTCTCAGACCTCACCATGCACGAGGTGAGCGGAGGGGTGGAAGGCCACACTTTGGCTCAGTGTGATGCCGGTGGGAAGGGGAGAAAGGGGGGAAATTGGTCGTGGCAGCTGCGTTTCATTCATTCTTCCTGGCCCACCACCAGCTCAAGGTTCTGCCACGGGACCTGCAGCTCTGCTCAGAGACGGCGTCGGGTGTGGATGTGGGGGGACAACATGAATGGGGTGAACTGGTGCAGCTGGACCCCCAGACAGTGGGTGTTATTGTACGACTGGAGCGTGAGACCTTCCAGGTGAGCCCCGGTTGCCCGTGATGCTGGAAGGAGCTTTGCTGTTTTTTCCTGTGTGTGTTTTCGGGTGTCTTGAAGACTAGAAAGCAGTTTCCATGTGCAGCC